AATGTAAACTTTTTCTTTCTATAGTTCCAGTATTAAACTATTTGAATGTGATGATATTTTATCTACAAAAATTTGTTGTATTATATATAGTTTTAAAAATGAAACTTAGGAATGAGGTGCAAAAACCAGTGACATCCTCCCCCCCCTTCCTGCACTAGAGAGAAATATGAAACCAAATAAAACTGTCCAAGAGGTCCCGCCCCCCTGTCCGACATATCCTTACCCTAACGCTCAACACGAAAAATCTACACATCTTCTGTTTTGCAAATTTTTTTCATGTTATACTTTTTTTATAATATCACATGTAATCAATAAAGTATTTTTGTAGAAATTTTTATTACTTAATTTTAAACATTTGTCATGCCCCATTTTTTCTTAAACAAAAAGTATAAAAAAGTAAAATTTCTTTTTTTGGTGATTATTTTCTCCAGAATTCTCCAATTGGAGAAAATTTTGTTGTGAATAACAATAGGAAATATATTATTTTTGAGAAAAAGTTCGAGAATTAATTCTCGGGAAAATATTCACCGATTTTAAACCCAGAATACAACTTACTTTTTCTCCTTAAGGCAGTAATGGAACTAGATAACTAAGAGAAAAAATTCTAGAAAAAAACTAGAAGAAAAAAGAACGGAAAAATTAAAATTCTCGTACATTTTATGCCTAGTAAATTTGGGGAAACACTGGAGTTTATTCTCCAATTGGGGAGACATTTGGGGAAATTCAGGAGAATATTAGGAGTAAAAAAGAACGAAGAAAAATGTTTGAAGAAATAAATATAAAAAGTGTGAGTAAAATTCTCCAAAAATTTGCTCCTAGTAAATCTAGAGAAAATATTAAGAAAGATAGGAGAAAAAAACTAGAAGAAAAAATAACAGAAAAATGCAGTGGAACTTTGGGGGTTAAATTCTCGTACATTTTATGCCTAGTAAATTTGGGGAACACTGAAGTTTATTCTCCAATTGGGGAGACATTTCGGGAAATTAAGTAGAATAATTGGAGTTAAAAAAGAACGAAGAAAAATGTTCGAAGAAAAAAATATAAAAAAGGTGAGAAAAATTCTCTAAACATTTGTTCCTAGGAAATCTAGAGAAAATATTAAGAAAGATAGGAGAAAAAAACGTCGAAAAAACTAGAAGAAAAAATAACGAGAAAAGGCAGTGAAATTTTGGGGTTTAAATTATCGTACATTTTAAGCCTAGTAAATTTCAGGAAACACTGGATTTTATTCTCCAATTGGGGAGACATTTCGGGAAATTCAGGAGAGTAAATGGAGGAATTGACAAAAGTATGGAACCACCTGGGGAGTTGGTTCCAAAAAGTGTCCACCGATTTTCGTGAATAGGTCGTTCAAAAGTTCCGAGAATTTCTCGAGAAAGTGAACAAATTCTCTAGAATTTCTCTTGAATTTCCCCAAAATTGTTTTCTGGGATAATACTCTGTTTGTTTTACACTTCATTTTATGTTTCGCAAGATTCTGAAATAAATCTACTATTTTTAACTTTTCAAAATCAGCATGTAATGCATATTTAAAGTGAAACAAAAATTGAAATAAGAAAAAATAAAAAAATGGTTTTATACTAATTTATAAAAATATGGAAATGGCTCGCTAAAATGGTAAAAACTTGTTGGAAACATTTGAAATTTCAGAAAAAAATTCAACGATTTTTTTCCTCTCTTTATCAGAAACGCGTCATAGTACGAGAATACAAAAAATGTACAATTTTTTGAGAAATCAAAATGAAATTACAATTTTTTTAAGTAAAAACACCTCAATAACGTGTGGAAATGTCTCAACTTCAGGTGTTGTTTGAAAAGTCTTTAATGAAATAACGGAAACGCTTCTAAACTGTTTGGAAACAATGTGCGGAAATGTCTCAACTTTATGTGTAGCCTTTATTGAAAAACAGAAACGAAACACAATTATAATACGAAGAACATTACTCACAACTATGAACTAATATTTTACAATAATTACAAAGGTTTCAACTTTTTGAGCAATTAAATTAATTCATATACATATTGCATCCATTGCATGTTACAATTCCAGAAAACCAATTAAAACTGGTTTAAAATTTCATTTTTATAATTACTTTTAACAATTAAAAATAATATATAATGGATGATTTTTAATTTCATTAGCAAAAAATAATTATTATTCAGGACTGAAAATTTTTATAATACTGATTTTCTTTGTAAAAAGTGTTTAAACACAAAACTGAATTTCAATGTGAAAAATTTAACAAAGTGCACAAGACCAAATTCACAATATGAGCTAAAGGGGATTCAAACGAAAGCTAGGAACCCCAGGAATACAGTAGCAGCAACAAATCCAGTGTTTGACCTTCTAATGACCTCTGACGACCTCTAATGACCTAAATGACCTCCAAAAATGAAAATGTTTTAACTATGACTTAATGAATATCAAACGAAAGCTAGGAACCCCAGGAATACAGTAGCAGCAACAAATCCAGTGTTTGACCTTCAAATGTGTCAACTCCACTATCCCCTTTTCAAGAAAAAATCTAGTACACTATACTGAGATTTGGATTTGTTGGTTCTGTTATACTGATCAATCCAATGCCAGAACTTCATCATTTTCAGTAAAAAACTCGTCTGCCGCATTTTCTTCTTGTACTATATGCGACTGGGAATCTCCTGCCGATGCGTCGACCGGAAGTTCGGATTCTGATTCGGTTTTAGGTTCAGTACAGATAGGCATTGTTGAGCTAATTGAAGAGGACGGGATGTTATCTGAGATTGATGTGGTTAAAACTGCATCATGGTCAGATGTTGCTGAGCTGGGCGTAGTTACAGATTCAGGTGAAGTTGGTGTGGTTACCGATTCAGCTGAAGTCGGCAGGGTAACAGACTCATCGTTCTGTTCAAGGGTTTGATCAAAATCATCATTGAATAGCAGACGCAAATCCTAAATTTTTTAAAATTAATTCATCAAAGTTTTTTACTTTTTCATTTATTTTTATAAAACGTAGGTAGATATTTTCTTTCTAGAGTTTCACTCTCTATTGAGATTCTGGTTCTACCTGTATAGTAAGTAGATTCTCCTCTGTACCCTCGTTCTACCTGTATAGTGAGTAGGTTATAATTTGTATCCTGGTTCTGGTTTTACCTGTATAGTGAGTAGGTTATAATTTATATCCTGGTTCTTCTCTGTATCCTGGTTCTGGTTCTACCTGTATAGTGAGTAGGTTCTCCTCTATATCCTTGCTCTAACTGAATAGTAAGTAAGTTCTCCTTTGTATCTAGGTTCTACCTCTATAGTGAGTAGGTTCTAATTTGTATCCTGGTTCTACCTATATAGTATGCACTATGCAGGTTCTTCTCTGTACCTTGGTTTTACCTGTATAGTGAGTAGGTTCTCCTCTGTATCCTGATTCTGGTTCTACTTGTATAGTGAGTAGGTTCTCCTCTGTATCCTTGTTCTACCTGTATAGTGAGTAGGTTCTCCTTTGTATCCTGGTTCTACCTTTATGGTGAGTAGGTTCTTCACTGTATCCTGGTTCTGGTTATACCTGTATAGTGAGTAGGTTCTCCTCTGTATCCTGGTTCTACCTGCATAGTGAGAAGGTTTTCCTTTGTTTTCTGGTTCTACCTGTATAGTGAGTAGGTTCTCCTATGTATCCTGGTTCTGGTTCTACCTGTATAGGAAGTAGGTTCTCATCTGTATCCAGGTTCTGGTTCTACATGTATCGTGAGTAGGTTCTCCTATGTATCCTGGTTCCAACTGTATAGTGTAAAGTGAGTAAGTTCTCCTCTGTATCCTGGTTCTGATTCTACCTGTATAGTGAGTAGGTTCTCCTCTGCATCCTTGTTCTGGTTCTACCTGTATAGTTATGAGGTTTTCCTCTGTATCCAGGTTCTACTTGTATAGTGAGTATGTCCTACCCTGTAACCTGGTTCTACCTGTATAGTGAGTAGGTTCTCCTCTGTATCCTGGTTCTACCTGTACAGTGAGTAGGTTCTCCACTGTATCCAGGTTCTACCTGAAGAATGAGTATGTCCTCCCCTGTATCATTGTTCTACCTGTATAGTGAGTAGGTTCTCCTCTGTAGAGTGTCCCCCTATATCCTGGTTCTGCTGTTGACTGTAATAATGCTTCAGCATCTGATGTATCCTCTCTTCTATTGTAGTTCGAACTAGAAACCTTAGAAGAAAAAAAATCAAAACCGTCTAAAAAACTTTAAATGCTCATTTAAAGTCAATTAAGATTTAAGATACAAAGCCCTGTGAATCGATATTTATGAGAACTTATTACCTGTGAACTACTGTTGATTTCTTCTGTCCTATTCTGTGAATTCTGCCAATAGCTTGTAATTCCTGGATAAAAATATGTTGATGCTATTGTATAATTCTAAAAACTAAAAAATTCTTACTGCGGATTTTACATACATGTATAAAGAATCAAATATTCAAATAATTTTTTTTTTACTAATTTGCGAAAAAACTAAAGAAATAGATCTGGGTGCAACTGATTTTTCTGCATTTTTTACAACATTTATTTGATTCGAAAAAAAAAACCATTTTTCTAATCTTTTTCAATAAAATCTAAAACACGGGTCTGCCCTTACCTGAGCTGGATTAAGAATAGGTTCAACCAGAAGAACATGATTAGCTTCAACTAGATTAAGTCCGTTTGCTCCTCGACTTACAGGAAGAAGAAGAACTTTCACATCTTGGCGATTCTAGAATTCATAAGTTTTTTTATCTAAAGAAATTGTTGATGATCTCATAGGGGAGTTTATCATCAAGAATTGCCATCTTATATTCACAGAAGAAACTTAAAAAAGAGAAGCAAATTTAGTCGTTTCTTTTCAAACGTTTCGCCGATTTTTTTCTTGTGTCTGTGATGTAGACTACACTTTCTACCCAAATCGCGGGCTTCAATTGTCAACTATCAAGGTTTATAAAGAACCGTTGTTGATTGTTAATGGCACAGATTTAATCAAATGAATCAAATCATACATCGGAAGGAAGGGTCAAGAAAATGTAAAGACAAGCAAGTCCAGAACATATAATATCATAATGAAATCCAAAAACAATGAAAAAGCGCAACATACATCACGCTTTGAATCGTTGATGTAAGAACTTAAGTATTTTTGAGAGAGGAACCTTTATTAAATTTAAATAATCTATCGTTTAATAAATATTCTAAATACGGCTGTTTCACCAACCTTGAACTTCTGAATGTTTCTTTTAAACTCCGACTGTTTAGAACTATTGGTGGAGTGAAGAGCTAAAATACAAATATAAAGTTTATAAAATAAAAAAATAGAAACCAACAAGTTTTATTTCTCAAAAAAAGCGTTTCTTGTAAACATAGGAAATGAGGAAAGAGCTGCTATTTCATACAAATATAAAATTTATAAAATACAGAAATTTTCATTCTGAATGATTTCTTGTGATAATAGGAAATGAGCCAAGAGAATTAAGCAAGACTGTCAACGGTTCAGTGAAAGCTTTAAAGGGGGTATTTACGAAAAATAAAAGGGGGTAAAGGATAAACTATATTTTTGTAATAAAAAGCACAAAATTCTCTGCTTTTTGCTGCCAAAGAGGCAGGACAGCGTATTTTAGGTTCATATAAAACGGTTTTATATTAATTTCTTTTAACGGAAACGTAGGATAGAAATCAAAATGGTTTTAATTCATTCAAAATTTAATTATGGTTTATCTCTTAGCCCATTTTATTAAAATAAATTTTGAGAAAACGTTTACTACGTTAATTATAAGTTTTTGAAACCTGCATAAGGAATATCATTTTCATCCAAAGCTGCTCCAAGAATATCCAAGACATCTGGAGATATAATAAACTCAAAACTATCAAACTAAAGCTGACATTTTGTCTTCTTTTAAGTCTTTTAAGATTAACATCTAGGTATAAAGATAGAGAGAGAAAAAAGTTTACAAACATTTCGATTTTTTGCATAGAAATTGATAGTAAATCGTCGGTTAAAGAAAACCTACACAAAAATAAAAATAATAAAATTCCGGTTCAATTTTAAACAAACGGTTCAAAAATGTGTCCAATAAATATATTTGTTTGAAATTTGATTGATTGATTGAGTCTAGTTTCCTGGCCATGTAGAGAATACCAATGCTTTAGCATGCTCATCCTCAGACCTAATCCTTTAGAAAAAATAATTTAATCAATCCAAATTTGAAAGATTATCATTTAAGTATCTATTTAAGTAAGTCCATCAGATTTTATATCTAGAACAAGGAAAAAGTTCTATTGAATTTATTGAAAATTTCAGAAAAATTAACAATATTGAAGAAATATATTATTTAAAAAATATAAATTAATGTTCAAATTACCTGACCAGCGCCCTTACAACTGCTTCTATTTTAGTGGAATGGCTTCCTTTTACATCCTTTAAAATAAATAATAAAATCAAATAAGAATTATATACACTGACTGAAGGGGAAACAATTTATTTCTTTAATAATTTTTGCCTTCATCGAAATTTAAACTATACTTTTCTAACCTCTAGATCTAGATTATCTGCCTCGTCGTTATTCTTTGTTGAAACATAGGAGATTTCAGCGCGAGCAGTCAAACTTCGACAAACTGCACATTTAGTGCCGCGTCCGGTACCGTACTCATCAAGAAGCAGTCTATAATTACAATTTTACATTACGGTGTGTCATGCATAATAATTTACAAAATCAGGACTGAAAAATCAAATATAGAAAAAAAAGATAAAAACGAACCGTATACACTCAACACAGTAGCAGTGTCCGCACTGTAGAACACTCCACTGTGTTCCAAGATCTTTCTGACAAATGGGACACGGTTCAGGGTTGTGTCCCCCCTTCTTTCCATACTCAGATCCCTGAACAGGATTTACAAAATTCGGATATTTAGATAAATAAATAAATCAAGTTGATTATTAACATAATTAGTAATTCTGTTTAGAATCTAATTCATCATTACGGCATGAAAATGTTTAATTTGTCTGGATTTTTAAAAGAAACTTGACCGTTTGCAAACGCAAAAAATATTTCCAAACTTAATGATTTCACTGAAATTTTGGCTCTTTTTTTAGAAAAAAAAGATGGAATCTTTCATCTTACTGACTGGAGTTAAAATAATAATTTAATTACATTTATAGTCAAAAATTTATCCTTAAAAATCGTCCTTGAGCTCCTGTTTTATTAATTTAGTTATTAACTAACTCCACCAAGGCTGGGGATGAGTATAGGGGGTCAAGTTATACCTGAAGATTCTTTAAGTAAAGAAGCTGTCCTAGTTTTCTCTTCATCTCGTTTTTACTTGTCACTTTCTCTGACAAACAACAAATTATTAACTACATTTCTAAATTCTAATAAAAGGATAAAATCTTAAATTATTAAACGTTGAAATATAAAATACAATTTTTAAATTACTATTACTGTGGTAAGAATTCAGCAGGTAAAAAAGTGTTAATTTAAATGCTTTTGTGCACCTTTCCAGGAAATATTACCTGCTACAAGTTTTAGCCTTTGTGAATCCAGTTCATGTTTCTCCAGAATATAAATAGTTTCAATCTTCTCTTTAACCCTAGTATCATAGTATTATTTAAATAATTAAAAATAAAAATAGTTCTAGAGTTTTTTTTCTCCACCTGGTTGCAAAGTCTGTTCCTTCCTTCTTCTTCTTTAGGCTGCCTTCAGGTGTAAATGGTTCATCGTCATATCTAATCATCATCACTAATTTGAACGCTATCATGTTGGTTCGCAGTGTTACATGTTATAAAGAAATGTTCTCTAAATCGAAAAGGTTGAAAACCTTGGTGATACAAATTCTTAAAACATTGTGTGTTAACTTTTCGAACCTTAGTCTCAATCTTAATCTGGACATATTGAGTTCATCTACTCCAGCAACCTAAACAATAAACAGTGCAGTACAAAGCCTACTCCATCAACCTAAACTGTAAACAGTACATAACCTACTCCAGCAACCTAAACAATAAACAGTGCAGTACATAGCCTACTCCATCAACCTAAACTGTAAACAGTACATTACTACATAACCTACTCCAGCAACCTAAACAATAAACAGTGCAGTACATAGCCTACTCCAGCATCCTAAACAATAAACAGTACAGTACAAAGCCTACTCCATCAACCTAAACTGTAAACAGTACAAAACCTACTCCAGCAACATTAACAATAATCAGTGCATAACCTACTACAGCAACAACAATAAACAGTACTGTACATCATACTACAGCAACCTAAACAATACACAGTGCAATACATAACTTACTCCAGCAACCTAGTCAATACACAGTAAAGTACAGTACCATTCCCGCAACCAACCAACACTACAGGATCTATACAGTATTTATCATAATCTGGCAACCTGGACTGTATAGTGTATATAGAACAGTTAGAAAAACATAATCTACAGCAGGAACTTACCAGAACGGTAAACAAAATATATCAGTTGCACTATTTTTTACAAAAAACATGACTTGTAACACCAAATATCAAATCTAGTACGAATTCTTTCTTCTAGGTATACTTTGAAGGCAAGTCTTTAATTACCTGATCAAATATCTGTCCGAGTAGAATTCTGGTCAACCTAAACTCCTTCTTTATATTCTCCAGTAGCTTCATCTGGTTACTAAATACCATATGTAAGAACAATAACGTCCTATAGATAGCTGAACTACCCAGTAGCCAGTATTTTACAACTCCATCTCAGTTAAGGGAATGTAAACGTGATTTCAAGTGAACCTCCATTTTTAGAGTTTTATTTTAACCTATATAGAAATTACGTCCACAGTTCCTTACAAACCATCGTTTTTTTGTCGCCACAAAACCAAAAATGAAGAAGGGCTAACTAATGATATTATGGATAAAGAGGGACCGAAAAGTTATATTATCTACCTGGCCTCCTCTAGAACTGAGGCATTAATGTTTTGCATCCTATTCTTAGCAAACCTATAAACAGCTCGACAAATTCTCTCTCCCTAAATTTATGAAAATTATTTAAAAAATAACATAAAAATACATTTTTACTATTCAAGAAAAGAAGAAAGAGTTTATCAAGCTCGCTAAATCAATTATTTGACTAACTGTTCAGTGTATGTACATTGTACATGCATACTAACGACCCCTTAGCCAGAATCTTTGTAATCACATACGGTGGTCCCCAAAATAAACAAAAATATGTTCAGCTACTTGTAGGCGAACGAAATAGATTAGGACAAGAAATACAGCAAAACTTTAATAATCTAACATTAAGTTTAATCAATACTCATTCAGTTTTTTATCAGGTGGTCATTGACTCTATTTTGACGACCACTGTACACCCTCGAGAATGTTAAGTATTCTGGACAAAGACCTTGATCAATTTAAAGCAGATATACAGAAACAGATCATTGAACAGTCTCAAAATGTTGTGTATGAATGAATGAATGAAAAATATTCGGGTCTAGAGTTAAGAAAAATATAACATCGTAGAACAACCGTTTGCTGGAAAAACACAAATAGCATAAACTAATTAGAGAATATTAGAACATTTCAATTTCTTATCATTGTAAGGTAATTCAAGTTTCTACATCAAAATTTGCAAAAGAGTGGATTTTTTACGAGTGTTTGGTAAAAGACATTCGAGCTAAACTTTAAAAAATATTCATGACCTGGATCCGGATTCATTGTTTTGCAAGTCGGATCCAGGATCCAGATCCGGAAACATTGTTTTACAAGTCGGATCCAGGATCCAGATCAGGATCCAATGTTTACAAGACGAATCCAGTATCTAGATCCAGATCCATTTTTTTACGGGACGCATCCAGGATCTTTATCCGGAGCCTTGTTATTTAGGACAATCCGGACCAAAATGATCTAGATCCTAAGCACTGGATGGATGAATAAGAAGAAGAAAAGGATTGATGAATGATTGATTGATTACCTCCGAGTCTGACCATGTTCCTCTCCTGAGTTCATCCAGGAGAATAACTCCAGACTCTTCCAGCTGTTTTCTCTCTTCTGCAGTTAGTGAGGCTCTAGACACCAGGAAATAATTCAATAAATCAAGTAATCAATAATATCTTAATTAATTAAAATAAATCTTTTGACTTTTAAGCAATCTTTCAATTAATCAAATTAAATTTTCCAATTAATTAATCAATCTTTTAATTAATCAACTTATATTTTAACTATTTAATATAATTTTATTAATTAATAAAATATCAAAATCAAAATCAAAATATTATCAGAAAATTAAATCAATTTTAAAAAATTAAAATTTTAATCAAATCAAATCTACAATTCCTAAGAATCTAGAAATAATTTTAAATGGAGTTGTTTTAAATTTTAAATCCACTTAATGTATAGAAACATATTTTATTGTTGCCTAAATCTTAATCTATGGATTAATAAATATTTGAGCCCTTTCCTCCCTTGATCTCCCCCTTGACAAATATGAATCTAATATTATCCTACACAGGATGATTGCTGCCAACTCTGTGTTTGATTCTTTCTGGACAAATGGGGAAAGATTTCAATCACAGCTATAGCTAGAACTCTATGCAACAGAGCTACGCCTACTCTTGAATCTCTTGAAGACCATTGTTCAGTGTCCAAGCTATATAAAGTTCAACTAAACTTCAAGAGAAGCTAAAACTAATGAAGAGCCTAAACTGCAGGATATAAAAGAGCACTAAACTAAACCTGGAAAAGCCCACAAGTGAGTATTTCTTTTATAAGTATTTGAAGAATTTAAACATGATGAAACTTCTACTGAAAAAGGAATGAAAATTATCAAGCAAGAAACTAAAGTTCAATTGAAAGCAAATGAAGATTGTCTAACTACAAACAAATTCACAAAGTTTATTTTGGAGAAAATATTCATTTTTTGTAATTATAATTTTATAAAACTAATGTGATTATTTTTCAGTTTTCCACCACTTTGGATGCTGTAAGAAGAATTTGCTCAATAAATGCTAAATACAGCGTTGACTTTTAAATGTGCGTGTGTAATAAGGCTAGAAATTCCAGAGCGCTTCCTGCATTGCGCTAAAATTGTTATAAAATGCACAAATACAAGATCAACTGTCAATACAAGATCAGTTGTCAATACAAGATCAGTTGTCAATACAAGATCAGTTGTCAATACAAGATCAGTTGTCAATACAAGATCAGTTGGCAATACAAGATCAGTTATCAATACAAGATCAGTTATCAATATAAGATCAGTTGTCAATATAAGATCAGTTGTTAATACAAGATCAGATGTCAATACAGATTTCGATCTCGCATTATTATCAAGAAAAGATTCATGAAAATACTGGAAACACTTAACACTGTAAATAATATTTAGAATACCTAAGATGGCAGTCGACTGCTCTATTTAGGAATGTTTCTGGATCATTATCCACCAACTCCTTCATACTCTTCTTCATCAGCTTCCGCATCTTATCAATCTCTTCCAACTTCTCACTCATCTTGTACATCACGATTCTAAAATAAACACTTTTTATCAAGTTTTCAGTTTTACAATAATCTTCACTTTTATGCCAGAAGTCCCGCCCGTGCTTTATTTGCATTGAGAAAATCACATGTTTTCATCGAAATCAGCAAATTGTCAAATAATACCAAACTTTCATCTTATAATTGTAATAGATCATCACTAAACTTACCAAAATAGTAATCTTTGTAAAAGTGTTAAAAAATGAAGGACATAACATGATAACGTATTTGTTTTTGAGCGGACAGAAAAGTTTTCACATTATTTTGATATTTTACCAATTAAACTAATATTTTAGGAAGAAAAAATTGGAAAAGAATTGAATACTTTTGCCATAAAATCCAGAAAGAGTAAGACTATAAAATGTTTGACAAAAACTGCAAAAGTATGAGAAATTGCTTGTTTTTAAATTAACAAGCATAACATTTAAATATTGAAAAGAAGCACAAATTATTACCTAGTGTTTGGATATTTTGCCTGTATTTCTCTTAACTCCTTCTCATCAGCAATATCAAAAAACTAGAGAGTCCATATTCAAATTCAAGTTCACACTTGCCAATAATGATTTATATTTATATATTTTTTTTTCTTCAAAATTATCAGAATCGACAGAAGAAAAAGAAATAAAGGAAGAATAAAATTATAATTATAATTTTTCTGCATTAACTGTATCCAAATTAAAAATTAAAAATAATAAATAGTTAAAAAATTATTTGAATTTTTAAGATAAACAAAGATGGATTATCAATTAGCTGAATTTAACTACAGATGGAACCAGTATAAGGTGCTGGCTTTATATTTTGTATCATGTTTTGTTCAATCTTTATTACATAATCTGAGAATGTTTACCATTTTAGATAATAATTATAAAGTGAGATTAGACTTCATTTATTGAATTATATGGCCAGAACCATCAGAAAAGCATCCTTTATCATTTATTGGAGTGCTTAAATTTCTTTATTGAGAATATATTCATATATAATATATCCTATGATAAAATTAATATTTATTTGCCATCTCTGATCCAGATAAATTAAATGAGATCCCGGATTAGAACCGGACGTTCTAGAAGTGTGGAGAAGAGGGGAGTGTGACAATATGCCGTTCACAGGCGAATCTTTAAGGCTCGTAGATCAACATACATTACGATTAACGAACTGAAATGAATATATATGACGACCTCCCTGAGCTAGTTCATCATGAACTTGTTTCATGAGAATATTCTCCTGCTGGGAGCTGTCAACCCAGTTAATAACTTTCTAAACATTAAACAAAGAGGTAAATAGAGTTGGGAATTTATTAATGAAAAACGAAAATGGCAGAATAATAAAAAACAACATCTTTCTATTAAGTTAAAAAATCACAGATCAAACAAAGTTTGAAATTTATAAAAAAAAGAGAAAGCTGAACTGGTTCAGCCATTTCTCACTGTTTAAAATTACTCATCCCAGATTCATAAAAAAGCAGCTGTTGAATAAATACTAGAGTGCGATAAGTCAAATCTTAAGCGTTTAATGCGTATGGAATAGAATGTACAAAATCTCTTAATCTGAATTAATGAAAACACATTTTTTTATTATATTGATAAACAATCTCTTGAACTGAATAAATGGGATCCATATTCCTCTATTCTATTGATTGAACAATCCTTTTAGTGAATAAACCATGAATTACCTGGTACCAAGCATCTCTCTTTGATTGAGTAGCATATCCCTCTTGAACCAGCTGGTCTACAGGTTTAAGCGCAGCCTTGGCTCCTGTGCACATTTTAATGCAGAAACGATTGAAAAAAAAACTAATAATAAATCAAATGCAGTGCTTTAAATCTATTCTATTTTGAATCAGATTCGTTTATCTGATTTCTGGACCCACCCTATGAAAAAATGGATACAGGTCCGGTTTTAGCAAACAGAATTTAAAATTTGTTTTCCAAACGTAGTGTTTTGTTTAAATTTTGATGAATTTTTTCAACATTTCTTTTCTTATAAAATTTTTTTTCCACGGGCAACGCCGGGCCCTTCAGCTTGTGAACAATAAAATAAGAAGTAGCTTAGTTTTTGTAATGCAAAAATACCTTCAACTCCTACTAAATATTTCTTCATGTATCTTTCCTTCAAAGCCTTCATCATATCTCTGAGCTCAGAGTCCCTGAATTTTCATAACATTTTTCAATGAAACTTAAAATCTCGTAAGCGTAAAAAATACCAGGACCAGGTAAGGAACCATGAAAATGCCGGGACCAGGATTATGAACAATGAAAAGTTGGGACCAGGATTAGGAACAATGAAAAGTTGGGACCAGGATTAGGAACAAAGAAAATGATAAGCCCAGATTAGGAACAATGAAAATGATAAGACCAGGATTTGGAACAATGCAAATGATGGAACCAGAATTAGAAGTGTATATTAGTTGTGAGACTCATATTTTTGGCCCAAAGAAAATTTTGGGATTTTAGTAGTATAAACAGGTCAACTTCAAGGTCCCCCCTGAGCATTTCTGATACTGTTTTTTTTTTGGTTGGTTTTTTATGTGGTTTTTCCTTCCCCTTCCCTTTCCCCTTTCTCCTTTCCCCTTCCCCCTTTTCCCTTTCCTCTTGCCCCTTTTCCCTTCCCTTTTGCCCCTTTTCCCTTCCCTTTTCCCTTTTCCCTTCTCTTTCCCTTTCCTCTTCCCTTTTTCTTTTCCCATTCCCTTCCCCATTTTTCATTTTTCCTTCATTTTTTCCTCCAAACCCAAAGAAAGCTCATATTTTTATGAAAAATCAAAATGCTAGAACCAGGATTATGAACAATTAAAATTATGTAAACCAGGAATAGGAATAATAAAATGCTGGGACCAGGATTAGGAATAATTAAAATGCTGAGACCAGGATTAGGAATAATTAAAATGATGGGACCTGGATTAGGAACAATTAAAATGATGTAAACCAGGATTAGGAACAATTAAAAGAGCTGAGACCAGGATTAGGAACAATGAAACTGCTTGGATCAGGATTAGGAACAATGAAATTGCTGGGACCAGGATTAGGCACAAGTGAAACTGCTGGGGCCAATATTAGAAAAATAAAACTGCGGGGGCCAGAATTAGGAACAATGAAACTGCTGGGGCCAGGATTAGGAACAATGAAACTGCTGGGACCAGGATTAGGAACAATGAAACTGCTGGGGCCAGGATTAAGAACAATGAAACTGCTGGGACCAGGATTAGGAACAATGAAACTGCTGGGGCCAATATTAGAACAATAAAACTGCGGGGGCCAGAATTAGGAACAATGAAACTGCTAGGGACAATATTTTGACAATAAATATAAGAATTAGGAACAAAACCAGAAATTTCTTTTAAATAAATAAATAACTTAACATATGTTTAATAATATTTATGACACATTTATATAAATAAACAGACATTTTACAACAAAAAATTTTATTAAAAATTAAGAATTGTATTTTGTGGTTTACCTAAGAGTTGGCTGTATATCAGCATGATTTGCCTCTATGAGCTCTGCTAGGTTAGAAACTGTATGAAGACGCTGTAATGTATCCGTCTTTATCTGTCCCTATTATGTTTATAAAAACCATGAGATAGTACGAATGTGCAATGTGCATATCAAAAATAGGAAAAATGTGAATTTAAAAATTTCTTAATGATATTATTAAATCATAAACATCATCTTCGAAAAAAAAACTTATTTATATTTTTTATTTGATTAGTTATTTGTTAACTTTAGAAGATTAGTTACTCAATAATTTGTGTTACTCCTGAACAATATTCTTAGTTCACTGTAAAGTTTAAAGCTTTCAATCCCTACCTCATGCTCAGAAGCAGATCTAAGTACTTCTCTGTAGTTTTCAACCGCATCTACAAACTTTTCCTGAACAGATTTTCAATTTACTTTCTCTCATTTCAGCCGGATTTGCACAAGACAACGACGGTCAAGCTACAAAAATAAGTATTGTTTAAAGTTTTAATTTTTCCTTCTTTTTTATTCACTACAAAATTGCTTGAATTTAACAGAAGTATTTCTAATCATTTATTAAATTAAAAGAAAAGTAAAAAAGTAGAGAATGTAAATTGTTAATGGAGTTTTAAACAAGTTCTCTAAACAAGTGTACAAAACTTCAAAACTTTACGTCTTAGGAATCCATTTTAATTATTTTATTTATATTAAAGATTAAATGTCCAGCTTTCCGGCAGATTTTTATTTTGTCTAGTCTAGTTCTACCTGGATGATATCAACACCTGCCAGGCCGTTCAGAGCAGCAACGTACTGTCTGTGCGACTCTTCAGTTTCGAGAGTAGCTTTCTTTATCAACTGTTCCAGCAACTGCTCCATGGTCATCGTAGTCTTCTGTAGCGCCATGAATTGTCCACGAACAGCCTTTGTGAACAAAAAAAGATTAAAGGAACTGTAACCGTAATTTCCAGTGACTCTCCTTCGATGTACCCTTAAAAGCTTCGTCTGATGAAGTATGAATTAAATATACATTTTTTATTAGATTAAAGTTTTCAAGGGAACCATTGCTAATCGGACATGTCTCTCTTTTTTTTAAATGGAGGGTCCCTTAAGTTTACAACAAATGACTTTTGAAAGGAAAAAATTCCTTTCTGCATTTCAAATCAAATTAAACAATTCATATTTTAAACTATGCATTGTAAAACCTAGATAAAATAAGACAATATCTGTTTTATGAATATGATATATTTAGCATACCTGGGGATGACAGCAACTTTGCCTAAGTCTCAGTAAAGGTTGAAGAAGGTAGGATAGATTACCCCGGTCCAGTGTGGATAGTTTCAAGGATCCATCAAACCTGGAGAAATGGTTAATAATAATAATAATGATAATAATAGTATTCCCTATAAACTGGCTGGTAGGAAAGTTTCCAATAGTCCAGGGTGGAAAGTTTCAAGGAAACATCAATCAATAATATCTTGGGTAGTATCTACATATTTACCTAGTAACAGCTATATGATTACCTGGTTAAACTCCTAATAATATCCCTGGTGATATCTATATGTTTACCTGGTTAATCTCCTTATAATATCACTGGTGATATCTATATGTTTACCTGGTTATTCTCCATATAATATCCCTGGTGATATCTATATGATTACCTTGTTAATCGCCTTATAATATCCTTGGTGATATCTGCATGTTTACCTGGTTATTTTCATATAATATCCCTGGTGATATTTATATGTTCACCTGGTTAATCTCCATATACTATCCCTGGGGATAGCTATATGTTTACCTAGTTAATCTCCCTATAATATCGCTAGTGATATCTATATGTTTACCTGGTTATTCTCCATATAATATCCCTGGTGATATCTATATGATTACCTGGTTAATCTCCTTATAATATCCCTGGTGATATCTACATGTTTACCTGGTTATTTCCCATATAATATCCCTAGTGATATCTTTATATTTACCTGGTTAATCTCCTTATAATATCCCTGGTGATATCTACATGTTTACTTGGTTATTCTCCATATAATATCCCTGGTGATATCTATATGTTTACCTAGTTAATCTCCATATAATATCCCTGGGGATAGCTATATGTTTACCTAGTTAATCTCCCTATAATATCCCTAGTGATATCTATATGTTTACCTGGCTAATCTCCCTATAATATCCCTGGTGATATCTATATGTTTACCTGGTTAATCTCCCTGTAATATCCCTAGTGATATCTATATGTTTACATGGTTAATCTCCCTATAATATCCCTAGTGATATATATATATTTACCTGGTTAATCTCCCTATAATATCCCTAGTGATATCTATATGTTTACCTGGCTAATCTCCCTATAATATCCCTGGTGATGTCTATATGTTTACCTGGTTAATCTCCCTGTAATATCCCTGGTGATATCTATATGTTTACCTGCTTAATCTTCCTATAATATCCCTGGTGATATCTATTTGTTTACCTGGTTAATCTCCCTATAAATCCCTGGTGATATCTATATGTTTACCTGGCTAATCTCCCTATAATATCCCTGGTGATATCTATATGTTGTCTCCTATAAAAATGTTCTTCTACTGGGGAGAATTGAAGCCAGTGAACCTCTTCTCTTTGTCCTGCAACCAGATAATAATAATAATATAGAAATTAAACTTGCAAAGGTTTATGGGATCTTCATGCAATAGTTTTAGGTTAAGTAATAAATATAAAGAGGTCAGAACTTTTATATCGAATGTTGCCAATCCATGAACTCAGAATCCACAATGGAAACACTGAATTTTAAGCGATTACTAGCCTAACTCTCAAGAAAAACCACGCACTCGAATATTAGCAATCATTGGCCAAGTGCAGATTTTTGTTGACACTCTGGAGTTTTAATTTAATCCGTCCGGCCGGACTACTATAAAAGCTGTCGATATGCTTTTTCCAAATAAATTAAGTTTAATATTAAAAAAAGGAAAATAATCCGCATAACGACACAAAATTTTAGTAACTATAAATGAAAGTATACCTTGTAAATCAATTTGTTCCAGAACATCTTTTTTGCAGGTTCTCCATAGAATTTTACATAACAATTCTTCCATAGGGGCCTTAATAGATTTATTGCTAATGAAGCTAGAAAGAAAATTTATCATCTATATTAGTCTGTGTTCAAGCAACAAATCATAAAAAGAAATATACATCAACAAAATATTATCAGTTTCATTTTTAATTATTTAGTTACTAAAGGGACTGCCTCTAATTACATTTCCAATTCACAACAGTACTCCATAAACCTTTATCAGAAAAACAATGTTTCCTCGGGTATCGTTGTGCATCAGAAATACCATTCTTTTCAGAGTCACTTCAAACTACGGCCAAATTCCGCTTACAATATAAATATATGTTGTAAGAATCTATTCAGAAAATTTGTATACCTGTATTCCGTAGCAGAATGGATCGTAAATACATAGTTTCCACCAAACATCCAACATATAGGGATCTATCCGCAGAAAGGCCAATAATCCCTGTAAAAAACAGGACGGAAATACCAAAAGTGCTCTTCAGCGAATATTTTGTCAAAAAAATGGATTCTTGCAGGATGTTTTTTTGTCAGCATCAAAAATACTTGTAGAGAATTCTCAACAAAAACTACATATTCAAGTTTTACCTGTAAATCATTAATTGATTTCCCAATCGGAGTTCCAGTTACACACCACTTGTTCACACCTGATAACCGTTTAGCCATCTCAGCTGTTTTAGTCGTAGTAGATTCTATCATCTGCGCTTCATCTACATTATTAATATTATCATTAATGTTGCTGTCATTAATGTTGCTGTCATTAATGTTGCTGTCATTAATGTTACCGTCATTAAGGTTGCCGCCATTAATGTTGCCGTCATTAAATGTTGCCGTCATTAATGTTGCCGTCATTAAGGTTGCCGTCATTAAGGTTGCAGTCGATGACGATGTCGAATTGGACGTTAACTACTATAAATCCAGGCTTTAAAAACCTTTTTTGATTTTTTTTCAAAAACTCATTTTTTCCTAACAATTAGATATATATTTTAACCCAAACTGGTAAGCGATAAAACATCTTTTTCCTTCGTACTGGGGGAAGGGCATTTTAAAGAGAGGGGGTGATGATGGTTTTATATAGTTTAAATGTTTACAACACTTCAAAGAGGAGAAGTTAAATTACCTAAACATATTCTCCACCAGTCAATACAGGTGATTGGAGATGGCATTGCCATAAACCGTTTAGGATTCCTAATCAGCAGAACAGTATTTATCTATGTATTTATTATGAAGTGCATGATTACTCTAAAAGCACCAAAAACCCACCCATGAGGTAATTGAGACTATCATGGGCGGAATAGCTAGTTAGCGAGCATGACTGCAAGGATGAGAATGTTTGAACACAAGAAAGAAATCGTCTTTTATTTAGGCGTCCTCATTCATTTACAAAAAAGCGTGGTATATCGTATGTGTTACCGCCAAAATGCGCATATAAGACTCGAAAAACGTAGTGTTTTTTAGCATGCAAATTTATAAATTTTAGCTTTTAACATTTTTTAAACGATTCATTTGTTTTAAATTTTCTGATTAGTCTCGGAAATCGCAATTTACAACTTTAAACGATCCAAGTTTGGTGCAGTTATTCTCCAAACCAAATTAGGCTTTCAAAAGAAATTTTCCAGGCAATTTTTTTTTCATTTTCCCAAAATAAATACTCGTGCTCATTCCTAAACCGTCTCCCCTCGGAACTGTTAGAGTGCGGTAAATCCACATAGTTGGTCTCCTGGGCCAGGGTTTCATACGAGGTTATCACAATATCGTAGGTAGCTGAAAAATAAAAAATAAAGTAATGATTTTAACAGAGAGAGGCAGCTAAACGTTTAACTTGATTAGAAGTTAAACTAACCGTAACTAGTTCAACTACTTGTTTTCATAAATTCTATACTTTGAACAGTTTTTTTAGTTAGAACTGTCTACTTTATAATTTGCCCATTTCATTTTTTATTTATTTTTGTTTAACAACAATTGGTTACGATGAAGACATGTCAATTATATGTTGAAGTAAAAATGCCAACTTTTCTTGAATCATATCATGAAACAACCCTTGATGAATTATACCCAAAGAGAATAGAACATATTAGAATGTAATTTACTAGAAAAAAACTGTAAAACGGCCATTTTGTTGTACTGTTGCCATACTGCAGGTGTACTTCACATATTTACGCTATATAACCTTTTGGGGCCTGGACATCATTTTATAGAAAATCTAAAATTAATATTAAAAGAAAACCAAATTATGAAATAGGCTGGTTTCCTACTTGACCAATTATCATTTCACATAGACTCTATGCCTTTCACTTTACAAACGATGATTTTCCGTTATAATTATAAATCAAATGATGTTTTTTATTCACTTAATTCATTTTATAAAGTTTATTTAACAGCTTAAAAAAATTCGAAATTGAAATGGAAAGTCTAGGGAACATATTGTATTAATGTACTATACTGCATAAAATTTATGAAAGTTTACATGATTTGTACACTTTGAACTCCCTTTCAGGCTAAAAGGGACTGAAAAAATTCATACCGAAGGATCGTCTAAATTCCACTCTAATATATATTCTATTCTCTTTGATTATACCTAAGGTTCTGGGTTGAATGTACCCCATCTCCTTGGACCCCTTGTAGTAGAACATCCTAATCTCCTTGTGCTTGACGTGCTTCTGTATCTCCTCTATCCACTGGAAGCTGATGGCGGAGGGGGAAACAATCAAGGTGGCCCCGGAGGGAACTTTCCCAGCTTGAACCCAGCAATGAGGGCAGACATATTCACCCCTGGTAGTTATATTTCATTATTTATTTACTAACTTTTCTAATATATTACTTCTACAGGGTTCATATTCACCCCTGGTAGTTATATTTCATTATTTATTTACTAACTTTTCTAATATATTACTTCTACAGGGTTCATAATCCCCCCAGGTAGTTATATTTAATTATTTATTTATTAACTTTTCTAATATATTACTTCTACAGGGTTCATATTCACCCCTGTTAGTTATATTTCATTATTTATTTACTAACTTTTATAATATATTACTTCTACAGGGTTCATATTCACCCCTGTTAGTTATATTTCATTATTTATTTACTAACTTTTCTAATATATTACTTCTACAGGGTTCATAGTCACCCCTGGTAGTTATATTTCATTATTTATTTACTAACTTTTCTAATATATTACTTCTACAGGGTTCATAGTCACCCCTGGTAGTTATATTTCATTATTTATTTACTAACTTTTTTAATATATTACTTCTACAGGGTTCATATTCACCCCTGGTAGTTATATTTCATAATTTAATTATTAACTTTTCTAATATATTACTTCTACAGGGTTCATAGTCACCCCAGGTAGTTATATTTCATTATTTATTTATTAACTTTTTTAATATATTACTTCTACAGGGTTCATATTCACCCCTGGTAGTTATATTTCATAATTTAATTATTAACTTTTCTAATATATTAATTCTACAGGGTTCATAGTCACCCCTGGTAGTTATATTTCATTATTTATTTACTAACTTTTCTAATATATTACTTCTACAGGGTTCATAGTCACCCCTGGTAGTTATATTTCATAATTTAATTATTAACTTTTCTAATATATTACTTCTACAGGGTTCATAGTCACCCCTGGTAGTTATATTTTATTATTTATTTATTAACTTTTCTAATAACACCCCTGGTAGTTATATTTCATTATTTATTTATCAACTTTTTTAATATATTACTTCTACAGGGTTCATAGTCACCCCTGGTAGTTATATTTCATAATTTATTTATTAACTTTTCTAATATATTACTTCGACAGGGTTCATAGTCACCCCAGGTAGTTATATTTCATTATTTATTTATTAACTTTTCTAATATATTACTTCTACAGGGTTCATAGTCACCCCTGGTAGTTATATTTCATAATTTATTTATTAACTTTTCTAATATATTACTTCTACAGGGTTCATAGTCACCCCTGGTAGTTATAATTCATTATTTAATTATTAACTTTTTTAATATATTACTTCTACAGGGTTCATAGATAAATTATTTCCTAGTATTAGGGAACACAGCGAAAAATATCTAATATATCTAATAGTTCAAACCCCAAACTTGCCCAATTGACCCAGAAAAATTACTATTTAAACTTAAATATGTTTTACTACCTGTAGGGATCTTCTAGATTATATTTCATACAATCAGCATGCTGCTCAGTTCCACAATCTTTGCACTGAACCCTTAAATATTTCTTATTATTAACTATTCCTCTTTTGCCCAATTTTCACTGACTTAGCAAAAATGGCAGGTGATAAAATATTGAGAGAGATACAAAGCTATATTAACGAAGGTATCAAGAAAAAAATATGCACAATCCTGAGAAAACCAACCGGATATATATCACACTTTGATAAAAAATCTTCCACTGGCTAATTGGATTGACGTTCTTTAATTCGGTATTCAAATGATACCGCCATTTTCATTTCTTCGTCAACGTATCATGACACCTTTAAAGGGACGGTTCACGTGATTTAAAGAAACCTACATTCACAGTACTATTTCCGATTCACAACTGTACCCTTTACACCTTTAACTTGCCAAGGATGAATGAAATATACTTATTTTTTTTATATGAAAAAAGGTTTATTTTTCAATTGTGGTTTCTCTGTAACCGCGATTTTTCGCATTTATGCTGCTGAAGACAAGATATCTAAAATATCTCTGATTATTACTCCAAGTTTGAAGAGTACCGTCGATATTCGGACAAATACCTCTTGGAGGTCCACTTGAAACTACATCTGAACTCCCTCTAATGAACTTATCTTAAGATTAAGTCCTTTTTAGAACGTAAACTATTTTGGACCGTTTCCACGGGATGGGTTGAGAACTAAAGAAGGTACCAAAAATACTCAAAATGGTTCATGTTTAATTTAACCTGTATCCAGGCTTCCCTTCTGATTCGTCAGTTCCTCCGCATATACATTCAAAGTAACTTCGAGGCTCAACCTGTTCACAGAACAGACAGTTTCTTTTTCTTTATTATTATCAATAATTAAAAAAATAAAAATAAAAAAGATAGGTGAGTAATTAAAAAAAATTACAAAAAGAAAATTGAAGGATTTGTTAGTTTTATTTTATTTCAATTTAATCCATCAAAACTATTAATAAAAGGAAATGATGTTGAATTAGGTTCATATAGATTGATCGAGACATAAACATTAAGAAACAGNCAACCAACCACCGTAAAAAGATGTGGCTATGACCACCCCCCTCCCCTGAAAAGTTCCTGTATCTAAAATCTAATATCTAATTTATATTTAATATCTAACCTTTTCACTGAAGAATGATTTTCTCCATTCTTTACTCCGCTTGTCTGTTGCATAGGATGCAAGACTCATAGGCATAGACATATCATACATAACCTTAACATATCACACTGCTGAAATGAAAATGAACCATCAGGTTTCAAGGCAAGTACTTTTTCTATTCTTTTATGCAGTCTACTGAGCTATAACCTCAAATTTCAGAAAATGCCACCCAGGGGGTTTTGAGTAAATCAATTTTTAAGAAATCAAGTGCATTTACAGTTCCAAAATCAAATATAGACATATTGTAGCAAAAAAATCAAAGCCCTAAATCAACTTCCTGACTGTTTAGATAGAAAGTTTGTTATGTGATTTTTACTGTTTTCGCATTAAGAAGACTCTTTTAGGCAGTACTTAGGCAGCCATGCATATTACATATGGCTTTGGTTTTTTGCAATAACCTACTCTTTTAGGCAGTACTTAGGCAGCCATGCAGATCACATATGGCTTTGGTTTTTTTTTTGCTATAACATGTCTTAGGACTGTTAAGAAAATTCACAAAATATGAGAACCCTGCTATTTACGGTTCCAAAATAAACTAAAAAAACACAGAAGAAGCTTGTTTCTACTCTTGAAACTACAGTTACTTGATTTCTACAATTTAATCAAACTGGATTTCCTCAAAATTCCCCGGGTGCAGTGGTATTTTCTGAAGCTTAAGATTATAACTCAATAGACTGCATATAAATATATTCCAAATAAAAAATTTAGGTGTTTTGACTTGAAACCTGATGGTTTATATACCAGTGTGATTATTATTGTAAAAACAAAATAACGATTTAACCTTTCAAAAAAAAGCCTCCGTAATTTGTCAAAGATGACAAATAAACCTTTTAAAAAATAAATCATATATATGGTTAAAATTTCTCCCCCATAAGAAATCACTATCATACGATCATAACAATCAATGACTTGAAAAAGATTTTTTCATATTTCCGTTTAAAATTTTGGAATTCTTACTTTATTTTGATTTTTTCACCTTATTTTGACAGGTGAAAGATACAAAACAACATTGAAGCCTTTATAAAGCTTGATTAAAATGGGACTTGTAAAAAAATTATACAACACGAAATTGGTAAAACACACTCCAAAACCCTCTCGAATAAAGAATGTTTGTTAGAGTAATTAAGAGATGTTACCTTCAGTTTATCATAAAGTTCCCCCTTGTGACTAGTCTTATTTGCCGCTCTTGCATCTTCCTTTTCTTTTATTACGCTTGCAAACCTAATTAATTATTATAAAAAATTAGTAAATTCAGTTATTTGATTATCTTACCTGCATAAAAAGAATATAATAAAGATTTAATTATCAACATAAAAAGAAAAGTTTTTAGAATGAAAAAAAAGTTTAATTTCCTTTACCTGGTGGGAATATGAGGTTTAGAGTATGGAACCCCATCGTAGCACACTTGAGTGATTACATGATCAATGATATCAGAACTGATTGATTGATTATTTGAACCCACTACACTCCTGGACAAAATATAACATTTGAACATTACTGTTGTGTTTTAATAAATATGAATCTGGATTAGTATCTCAACATCATCATCAATTTTGAAGGTGAAAAGGTAAACCACAATTTGTTAAGTGTTTTGAATGAAATGCTTCTAAAAAATTTTATAACGAGTTTAATGCCGCGTGGAACTAAGGCGATCCAGAAGTCGTAACTTGGTTCTTTTCTATATTGGGACACTTTCAAATAGTTTAAATACTTTAGTACTTGGTGGTTCATATTTAAGGTAAAGTTTCATATGTATTATGTATCTAAAAACTACACACTAAGTACAAAGTACATGTACTTTATCGGTAAAAGAATATCCCTGACAAACTATCTAACCTTGTATCATCAGGATCATAGTGAGGGTTTAATGCTATTGAACCTGTAGCCCCGCTTCCTTAACAAATAAAATAACTGTTTTATTATGAAAATTTCTCAAATATTACATCATAAATTGCCGGTTAGACCAAATAATAATCATGCTCCAGAAGTAACATTTAATATCAGATCTTGGCCAAACCACGGATTGTAAATATATAAAACAATATAACTTTTTCCAATTCTTTGCGTGTTTGTCTATTCTATAAGAATTTTTTGCTATATTTATTTCCAGTGAAAGAGAAATTTTACCCAGTGATGTTCGGATAAGTTGTCCAGTCTCAACTCCGTGATTAATTGATTGAACAAACTTCTCCTTCATATTCTTCTGTGTAACATCTTTATCATAAACCCTCTTCATGTGATTCTTCAGTTGTATCACAGATACACCATTCCTACAGGGTAATGTTAATTTAAAAACATACAAAACAGATTGTTTTCTAGAAAGGAGAATAATAAGTATTTAAAAAAAAGATATTTGGATTTAATCTGAAGCTTACAAAGAAACATGTAATACTTCATAAATTATTTAAACTTACCTATTTTTACGATCTTCTCTAAGGTCTACCAGGGATTTAACTAAAAGGTCATGTATGTTTTTAGAACCTTTCTCCGGCTTCTCGCCATTCTTAAAGGGTTCAAATACAGGATACAGAGTGTCGGAGACAGGTACTGAAGTATTTATAGTCTTAGCTTTCTTTTTCGGAGGTTCTTTATCTTTGGATTTCTTTCTGTTGACTGATCTTTTCTTTCTGGAGGCCAGAGGTACATCATCGTTGTCCGAGGACTGAGAGTCAAACTCCTCGTGATAATAAACAGTCCGTCGATCAGAGAACTTACGACTTAGAGATTTCCTAGCACTGCGTTCACTTTTATCTGGTCTTCTTGACTTAGGATGTGATTCAGGTACAAAATCAGAGTCATTTGCATCATCGACAAATTCTTCTGACGAAGTTGATGTGTCTCCTCCATCAAACTGCGGTATTGAAGATCCTGCATATCCACCCACTGCACGTGATATTGAGGATGTAGCGTCTTCTCCAACCGCGTGTGGTACAAACAATTCAGTATCTTCTCCAACCGCATGCGGTACAGGCGATTCAGTGTCTTCTCCGACCGCATGTCGTATAGACGTTTCAGTGTCTTCTTCTATCCCATGCGGTATAATTTTTTTAGCCCTGAGAGGCGTTGTACTGCTTTGAAGAGGTGAATCCTCCTCGATATTCTCAGTCTCTGACCTCTCTACTGACGGTTTTAAAATATCTGAGTTTAATCTGCTGACGTCAGGGTTCTCCTTTAAATGAAACTCTATGGGAGAAGGACTACGACATCTTCTTTTTCTTCTCTTTTTTTTACTTGCTGTGAATATCGGCTCCAAATACTTAGGCTTCTCGACCTGACGTCGTGGATTATTGAGCATACAAGCCAGGACCTCGACAGTTTTTCCCAATCCCATTTCATCCGCCAGTATTCCCCCAGGTAGAGATTCCCTTAACATAAAACTTTTTCAAATATTTTGAAGCGTTTACTTTCTCAATTAATGAAAAACCTATTTTCTAAGGATTCTACCTTGCCAGAGGTTTTTCTCGCACCAGATAACCTCCGAATTTATTAAAGTAGAGAACAGTCCCGTCGTGTGTTATGACCTCCGTGTAGAGCGGATGAAGGTCCTCAACCTCGTCTTGGAGTTCATCATCTAGATTCCTGGCGTAGTTCTCCTTCTCAAGCATCCATCTTTATCCAAAACAAAAATTATCAATTATTATAATTCTATTAAACTAGATAAATCTAGATTGGGTACCCGAGGGATAACATAAGCTTAACATTCTTTTTAAAAAAATTCTGATTTTTTTTTCACGGGCAACGCCGTGTACTTCAGCTAGTTTTAATCATAACTATATTTGTTTCCATGATTATCTCCCGGTTCGGAGAAGGATGATTATCAGAGCTTTGGGGGAAAAATGGTAAAAAAAACGTGTCATCTTTTTTTTCTTCTTTATTATTCAAGATAGATTTACAAAAAATTAAAATTTCATTCAGTTTCACAAAAAGCTTACAATCATTGAACTAATTTTATTGGCCGTTGAAAATTATTTGAGGGGTGTGACGGCCGACGGTTGGGGGATAATACTTAAAACAAGATTCACCTGAACTCGTTTAACTCTCTCCTCCTTCTCCTGATCATGGTGCTGTTTAACAATACGATATAGTTGATCAATATCATGATTAAGATTCTTCTCCCCGAAATACTGGACGAAATTATTGGAATTTTTTTTTTGTATTTTCTATTATTTTTGGTCGATTATAAACCAAACATTCTGTTGAAGAGAAAAAACTTTCTTTTTGAACCAGAGCTAAAAAGTTTGGGAATTAACAGGAGGAAATGTCCTCCATAAAAAAAACTTAGTTCAATAAGTTTTATAAATTAGTCTTGACAGACGACGATAAATTCGTTGACAATAAATCCTTCCCTTGAAAGTTTCCGTGTTGAAGCAGAACTGTAAAGCCTGTCTAACCTCAGAAGGAACCCGGAGTAAAGAATCGGAAGGATGCGATAGTTTCACTAAACTGTCCTCTGTCACACAAACCTGAAATTTAAATTCTAAGTTTAAATGAAAATCAAGCAAAAATTAAAATATATGTAGCGCTTTTTTCAAGTTTTTATCTGCATTTTTTTAATTGTCGCAATTTACAACAAAAACTAAAAAAAATCCCTTTCTTAATCTTAAATGTTCAACTTTTACGAAAAGTGTATTTCTTAAAAAGATTTCAGGTCAATAACAAATATTGGTACAATCGGTTCGTTCAGCCAATATAGCGTTTTATGATCTAGCCAACCAACCAATATTAGAATTGAGACTTAAAACGTTCATTATAAAACATATCACATTAACCGGGCCATAAAAAGGAGTATCTGAAGAACTGCAATAATTCAGGGAAGCTAGATATCCCTGCTACTTGACTGCCCTTGATTAACATTTAATCCTGATACATGACTAACATTGATCTCTAACAACCGTCCCAACAACTCATATATTCTGTGGAGGTTATTTAATCATGATACTTGACTAACATTGATCTCTAACCATTCCAAAAACTTGTATTAGGATAAGCTTGATAATTAACTAACCTTGATATTTGACTAACCTTTATCTCTAACCGTCCCAACAACTACTATGTTGTGTTGAGCTTGATATTTAACTAAACTTGATATTTGACTAACCTTGATCTCTAACCGTCTTAACAACTAGTATGTTCTGATGAGCTTGATATTTAACTAACCTTAATAATTGACTAACCTTGATCTCTAACTGTCTCAACAACTTCTATGTTCTGATGAGCTTGATATTTAACTAACCTTAATATTTGACTAACCTTGATCTCTAACCGTCAACAACTAGTATGTTGTGATGAGCTTGATATTTAACCTTAATATTTGACTAACCTTGATCTCTAACCGTCCCAACATCTCGTATATTCTGTGAAGCTTGAGTTTGAAAACCTTCTGTTTTACGCTGAACGCGTTGAGTATTCTCCGATCCTAGAGAAATAAGCTTTAGTTAATAGATTCCCCAGTTAGGAAATTTCTCGCTGTTGATATTATGGGAATTAGGACACAAGGTTATTTAAACAAAAGTTTGAGCCCTAACCAATCCTTCGTACCGTATATACTAAACAAAATAGCTGCAACTCGAATGATTTTAAATTCGTTTTCTTTACGATAGATTTATTAGCATCTTTGCAACATCAATTACAAAAAGATTAAGTAATTAGTTGACCTGTATATCCTTAATATAAAAATATTTGCTATTATCAGGATCCGTCCCTTTACGTTTCCTCTGCTCAAACTGTTTATCCGACTCTTCGCATCCCTGCAGGAGAACCAGTAAATATATTATATTCAAAAACCTTTTTTTATTTTTCAAGTTGAATAAAAGTAAGAGTAAATCCATGAAAATATAGGTATGCTAGTAAAGATCGTCTTTTTCTGCAATCTTTTAAAAAGAATAGCACAAAAACGATTAAAAAATCAATTTATATGAAAAATTATATGAAGGTAAAAAAGTAAGCAAGTAAAGATCTAATGGCAGTGAAAAAGATCTATAAAACTATGAAAACCATTTAAAATATAAACTTAGCTAATCAATTACATTTTTCTGACGAAATATTATTAAATTTGTTTATCGAATAAATGATTTAAACCGGTTTCCTGGTCGAACCATTCGTAGTAGATAAACGATCGTCCTGGAATATCTGATAGATAAATCCAGAACTTGTTTTGGGTGGGTAAAGAAAGCAGCTCCGTTTCCTTCAAACCGGTTCTGCCGATCATAAAGATACAATTCATACTTAACCAGCAGGCAAAATACTTCGTGTCAAAAAACTTTCTTTATCTAGGTAAAGAGAAAATACCTGTCAACATCCTTTATAACACTGCGAACAAAAATAATTGTAAATATGCTTCCAAACTCTTTAAAATACATTAAGAAGACTGGGCTACGACATGGGAGGGAAAGCATGCAGTAAAACTGCTCATATGAGATATTGTTCTCTATACAACTATTAAAATGGAAAGCTCATCAAAACTTAATTATTTTTTTGGTATTTTGAAAAATCTCCTGAATTACCAAATTGGTAAATCATTATGGTTTGTAATAATAATTGTTTTCAATTTGAAGTTTGTGGTTAAATATTAATTGAATGTATGGATGTAGTCCCTGTCTAGATCAATAAAGATGTCAAGCTTGAAAACTGAGGATTCAAACTCATCCTGTCCTACCAACTTTTCTCGCACCTAGATCAAGTATATATATATGTATCATATCATGATCTCATCTCACATAATCACATGTCCCCCCCCTTGTATAATGGACATTCCTTTATTATTAATTATTTGAAGAATCATTCAAAATCCAAAGTTTTTTATAAGATGTGTAAGGAATTTTGACATTGAGACCAAAAAACACTATTTCGAGCAATAATTTGCTGAAACACACTTTTTAAAATTAAAATCAGTGTAAAAAAAGTATTATATTATTATATATCGTATAAATAGAAGCATATTATAAATGTTTGGAGTACAGTGGTAGGCATTTATATCAACACAATGAAGACGACATTTTTATTTAAGTTTTTATTGTTAACAACCTTTTTTCGAATTACAAGTTTACAAGTAACCAAAGAGAAGGGTTTTTTAATTGAGAGCTTCACTTGACTACTATGTTTGTGTTACCATGCTGTTCTTCAGCTTGAAATAAATCTAAGTTTAAATCGAAAGTCGTCTTCGTATATTATCGCTTTATTGTATTGTAAAGTGTGCATTTACCTCTGCGAAGAATGTACTTGTCTCTAGTAAGGATTCCAGGACATGATCCTTCTCTTTAACCTTGGGAACAACTTTCTCCTTCTAAAACATTAAATATAAATCACGACACAGTTATTAATATGCTCCTTTAAAGGGACTGTAAAGAGTAAATGTAGTTTTAAGAGACCTTGGGTGTACACTAGCGTACATTGTGATCAATATATGCGTTTCTCAAAAATCTAGCATCTTCCATGACCAATGCGGTTTTTTAAAGATTTAAATGAAATTATTTGAATTCTGCTAATTCTGGAGAATAAATATTAGTATTTATTACTTATTTACAAGTAAGAAATCACCTATACAATCCCTTTAAGGTTATGCCAATTTATACTATTGCGGGATATTGTGTATCATCCCTCTCTCCTAAATGCTCTTAATTATTTATTAATTATTATTAAAACATCTACTTAGCAAAAAGTATCTGGACTGAGCTGAAAACTTTAGAATGGGATATCCTTAATCCCAATCGGTTAATCAATCTGGAGATTAATAACAAGAGGAGAACAAACATTATTTAATCTCGAGATCAAGAAAAAGAGTGGATCAAGCATTAATCCCGATAACCACCATTCAAAAGTTCCAAACTCTGGTCAAACTTTTTGGAAAGAATATTTCTTTAATCTCACTTAGCACTTACTGTAATCAGTAAAAAAAATGTTTATATTCCATCATAAATCAGGGGCGTATATTTTCATTAAAAATTATTGTCCCCCCGGGTTAAGTGTTTCCTTCGCTCCAAAATAAATGATGGTTAGGGTAAAATAGATGAATTGTTTAGGGTAAAAATTTTCAAAATTGGCGAAAATGCTGCCTAAACTTTACCTTTTTCCTTGAAGTCAGTTGTTTTGCCACGCGCTTTTTATGCACAGGAGGAGCATAATCATCATCCTCTGGAGTAGCATAATCTTCATCTTCATCATCATCAAATACTACGCTGTACTCCCTAAGTTAATCGAGCTAAAAAAACGGGGGTTTTTTTCTGTACTGATCTGCACCAAATATCGATAAATCCCAAGAAAGGGAAATTTCTAAAATGAAAAGTACGGCTACAAAAAAGTACCTTTGTTCCACGGTTTCTAGGTTATTTGGCGAACCGTCATTGGCCTATAAAAATGTAAATTAAAATTTCTAAAATTTTTTTTCAGATATATACTGACAATAACTTACTTGCGGCTGCTCGCCCATGCGCCATGTTGAGGATTGTTGCTCCTCTTCCGTCAGCCGAGCGGGCGCAGTTGTTTTTTTGCGAGGCATATTGACCTGACGACTACTAATTGACGGTCAGAGCATTCATTATTTACCGATTTCAAAGTTTCGTCAGATAACTCTGAAATTTTGATAGAAATAATGTTGTAAAGATTAATCTTCTTTAATGATAATTTCATCTCTAATCAACTTTTTTTCTAATAAATTCAACAAAAACATGATGGGTCTAGAACACGCTTGTTGCCCCCTCCCCACTTCATCAATCAACTATGTACATGAAGTACATGACGTCATTTTTTTTCTACACTACATAATATTAATGATATTTCTTTAGTATTATTTTATGGTAGTAGTAGTTCAAAAGAATACTGGGCAGAGCCCTGCGACTGAAAAAAGCTATGGGGTTGAGCACCGCGGATTAGACAGACTGGGGGGCCAAGCGCCGAGGCTAATACATGCTAGGGAGCCTAGTGCTGCAGCTAGCAGAGGCTGGGAGCTGAGCTGAGCTGACCCCCCCCCCCTCCTCCTATCGATTTTGTACATAGATCTCATATGTAACACATAAGGATAAAATAGGTCTTGTGGCTGCAGCGCCCGGCCGCTTAGCCTGTCCTACCCCCCCCCCCCCTCCAATCAATTTTGTACATGGATCTTAGAGAAATTGTCTTAACTTACTTCCAAGCAATTCATACCAATCAACGAGTTATTAACGTCCGACCTTGTGTGGTTTAAAAACACCATTCAACTTGCATCTTTCTTAACACGAATACAACGAAAAAAGTTTAAACAAATTGATATACTTGTATTGTGACCTCATTTAAAGAACTTGAACCTAACGTTTAATATTTCCTCTAAATGCGATAACATGGGTTAAATATAAGAAGTATGGAATACAATGAAGGAGGAGTATAATTTTACATAGTATACATATAATGTGTAGTATGAATAATTATATCGCTTCACCATATAATTATACTGTGAACTTCCAGCTGCAGTGTCATGTGTGGCCGTGCAGGCCGCCGACTTTAATTTCTATTCTTTGTATTCACGTAAAATTATAACCCAAATTTCCTAAAGCTAGCTTTGGCTGATAGTCATCAGCTAGTCCATGTACAAAATTGATAGGAAAGGGGCCTGGGGGGTGTCCAAAAATCGTTCCCCAGGAAATTACCAAATGTTTTACAAAATGTCAGCCTCTGTCCTCTACACCTTATTTTCAACGGAAACAATTCTTTTGATTTTAATATTTGAAATCCAAATGTTAAGAAAAATACTAAACGCGGCAGAAGCGAATGTTTTATAAACATCAATAATCGTCTTCAATTCTGGAATCTGGATAAAATAAATTATTTCTAAACTACTCCGCCGCCGTGTTTGGACATATAAATTTGTGATTAAAAAGATGGTGTATTTTTGGACCTACGTCCATCCCCTCTACTGCCTATCCGACCTACAACCACGTGGTTTTAACAGCTGTGGTAGGTCCGATGCACTGTAGGTCGGATGGGCACGTTAAAAACAGCATATAAATTGGTGCATCCGACCTACAATTTAAGCTGTCGCTTGGACACGTTAATAGGTCTGATGGGCCTTTTTTTTGTAGGTCGGATGGGCATTTTTCGTAGGTCGGATGGGCATTTTTCGTAGGTCGGATGGGCACTTTTTCGTAGGTCGGATGGGCACTTTTCGTAGGCGGATGGGCATTTTTCGTAGGTCGGATGGGCAATTGTCATAGGTCGGATGGACGTTTTTCGTAGGTCGGATGGGCACTTTTCGTAGGTCGGATCGGCATTTTTTGTAGGTCAGCCCAGACATGCCGCAGTGCTCGGCGGCCCCTAGCCTGTCAGCCGCAGCGCTCGACCCAGAAATGAGCTTAACCATAACCTAACCCGAAATAAACACTAATTTTATTAAAAATTGTGAATTGAAGGTTTTCATGGCCGCAGCGCTCGGCCCCCTAGCCCGTCCTTGCCGCAGCGCTCGGCCCAGAAATGAGCTTAACGTCTAACCTAACCTTAAAAATACACTAATTTTATTAAAAATTGTTAAAATCAAAGGTCTGCCCATCCAACCTACGAAACATGCCCATCCGACCTACAAAAAGTGCCCATCCGACCTACGAAAAATGCCCATCCGACCTACTAAAATGCCCATCCGACCTACAAAAAGTGCCCATCCGACCTACGAAAAATGCCCATCCGACCTACGAAAAATGCCCATCCGCCCTACAAAACGTGCCCATCTGACCTACAAAATTGAGTGGCTGTCCTCGACGCTACAATTAATTATTTCATACCCTACTGCGCTATGGGCATTTGACAAAAGCTGCTGATAGGTCAGATGTTGCAGTAGGTCGGATGGGCAGTATAGCGGATGGGCAATAGGACGGATGGGCATGTAGAGCGGATCAACATTACCAATTAAAAGAAATTGTTCCTTTTGTGCAGGACAAGTACTATTCTTTTGTCAGTGGCGTAACTAGGCTTTTTCTGAGGGCCGAGGGGCCGGGGGGGGGGGGGTGAAATTTGAAAGTATTAATTGCCGGGGAGTTATACATACATGGGGAGGGGGGGGGCAAGCCCCCGGGGTCCTTTCAAAAAACAGAAGTCAAGAGTTTGATAGCTATAAAAACCTGAAATTATTCAGGCTATGTGGACACAGTAGCTAAAAGTTACTTTTATTGGAATGACAAATTGACACATGTTTTATTCTGAAACAAACAAAAAAGGTTTCATAAGATATGTTAACAAATTGTTGACATATGTTAATTATGAGGAATCAGGAAGATTGTGTCATGGGAATAATGGGAATTCAGTGACGAATTCGATATCGTCTTTTTATTAATTCTTTGATTTAGCATAGTGATACCTACTGAGAAAGCTGTAATTTCTGTAAGAGTTTCTTCTGATTCGTCTGCTATGTTTACAATTTGTTTGTTTATGTTTTGTCTGCATACGGTTGTACTTAGTATAACAAGAAAATTGTAATATGACAAGAACAACAGAGTAAACTTGTCCGTCTTCACTGTTCATCTTAAGGAGACAATAGACACATAAGTCTTTACCTTTTCATAAAAAACTCTAGCAGACATAATAATATTGGCTTTTGAAATTAGGTATTAAAATGCTAATTCATTACAAAGACGATATCCAATTCGTCACCATGAATTCCCATGATTTTTGGGCACACTAGTTTAATTTTCATAATACACTTCACAGCACATTGCACAAAACACAATTGAATCAGCAATGCATAATTCAGTCGATCTAAGTAAAATTTGATAAAAATCTTCCAGAATGAAAAAGGTTCTTCAAAATCTGAAAAATGTTTAGAATTAAAAAATAAAGGAACTGAGTTTTTGCCACAAATTCTGATTTTAAAAAGCTATATCTTTTTAACCTAATGGTGTAAACCTTTGATATTTCAAACTATTATAATTTGATCTAAAATGATTGATAGTTTGAATTATCAAGGTCTCCGACATTAAAATGCAAAGATATAGGGATAAGAAAATCAGAGTTTGTGACAAAAACTCAATTCCTTTATTTTATAGAATCATTATATTATCGACTTCAGGGAAAACCCTTCAACAGATTATGCCGACTGTATGAACCAAGTTCAATAATGCGTAGATGAAGCAGGAACCGAGTTTAAACCAGGAAGATTATCTGAATTGTACATGGAGTTCGAGAATATACTTCAGTCCCGCATACCATCTAGCGGGGTTCACATACACTTTATATTTAGCAATGTTTTTATCAATTAGAATAAAATATACCATAATAATAGTATCTTTAGTTGTGCTAGTTATGCATTTAGGTACCTTCCCACCTACCAGACTTTTGTCCGGTATACGAGATGCATTTAAATTATCATTATTACTTTAATCAATGACGCGCTCCTCCAAGGGCAGATACAAGGTGGGGGGGGAGGACCTTCGCACCCCCCTGGATTCCAAGATTTAAAGTTATTTGATTATTCAATGGAATTTTAATATTCATAAGAGATATTTATTAAATAATTGAATCTTCAGTATGACGAAAAAATATTTTCTAGCTTTTAATTTTTGTGTTTTATAAGAACTTTTAAGAGACAAGAATAGAAACCAATTATATGATAAAAAAAATGTTAAAAATCCTAGCGCAAAGTTCTATAAAGTGTTTGAACAAATAATCTATTCGTAAATGAAACAATTTGTTTATTATAATTAAGATGTTTATAAACTAAATGACTTCAATTTACACTGTTGTATCTAGGAATTAACAACAACGATTTGCTTATGAGATTTATGAGAACAAGATGAAAGAGAAGATTCTTAGCTTGAAGCCGTTAATTTTTTACGGTAGTGCTATGCCTACTTCCCCCCCCCCTCACCCTCTTCTCCTTGAATATAAATTTTCTTTATATTCGAATAGAGTTTACACTTTTAGACTTGATAGATACAGATTGTAAGCATTTATCTTCAATCAAGTTCTGACTTTTGAGAATAAATTACACGATTGCTTTTTCAGTTGGATTTAAATTTTTGGCCCTGCACAGTGGACATAAAATAAAAGTGGATTTTTAAACCTTACATTAAATACATATATTTTTATTTTTGCACCATTTTAAAGTAAAAATATCTAACTTTTGGCCAATTTCTTATTCATGTTACCATTAGGTACAACTATAGGTCGTATCTATCTATCTACACTGCTCTGGTAAAGCGTAACCATAGTGTGACTATGGTCCTACCTATGGTAGAACGTCAAAGAAATTGACCAAATTTATGTAAAGGATTGTGTAAAGGTTTCCAGAGCCAGGGGCGGATACAAGGGGGGGGGGCGGGGGAACATTCGCCCCCCCTGAATTTGGAATTTTTTGTTCCTATTTTCAGAATAGCTTCTCAATAGCATGCTTAAGGGAAAGAAACCCTAGTGCAAAACAGGAAAAATATCTGTCTTGATAAACTATAATGTGTGAAAAGTTAAAAATCTAGTTTTTTAGTTTTTAGTCATTAATTTTGACTCTTTTTGAGTCTTTTAAGTCAAAAAAAATTTTTCATGTTGTAACATAATCGTAACGTCATCATATCATTTTACACCATGTTATTTTCATGTTATGAATAGGGTTCAAGGGCATACGAGGGGGGGGGGGGGGGGCACCCCTGCAGTCTGATGAGTCCACTTAAGAAACTTAAATAAATAATTTATCATCACTTGTAATATGGAAGTGTGTATATAGTCGAACAGTTTACAAGTTAAAAAAGGTATTAAAATTTTTTTAAAAAGGTATTTTTAAGAAGGGGGGGGGCAGGGGGGCACAACATTTTTTTTGCGCGCTGATGCGTGCAACTTGTGCCTCCCCCTCTCTTCAAGACTTTTAAGCCTTGAAAAACGACAGTGTATTCCATATTGCATAATGCATATTTGCATGAAGGGTTACTTGAAATTACGCTTACAGCCCCTTTAAGGGGAACCCTTTATAGATATAACTAATTACATAATAATGTAATTACGTAATTACGCAAGGTATTCAAAGTAACACCGCGTTACAACACAATAAAAATACTGTATATTAATAAGAATAAGATCTTCAATATGTAGTTCCGTTCATCATTTCATAGTTGATATTTTTAAACTTGAGACACCAGTTGAGGATTGGTTCAATTTTTGATGTTTCCTCCGTGTTGAAATCCAAACTGTGAAGCTCCTGAAAATATCAATCTATTTTAATTTCATCAGAAAGTTTAAGCACAGTTAAGTTGTGAAAAGAAGCGTATATTGGTCAAAATAATTTTAGATTAAGATCAATATACCAGAACGACTATTTAAAATTACTTAGTTTTATTTTGTTTTCAAATTTACATTGAATTTTGTTCGATAAATGAATAAAAACTGCTTGAATTTATTACTATATTTTCGCAAATTTCCCCCTGGAATATTAAAATCTTTGGTTTTCAGATGAGTTTCATGTCCCAACGAGTGCTGAGCCCCCGCTGGAAATAAAAAAATTACATCCCTCCTCCCGTTAACAAGTTCCTGTGTACACCCCTGACTGCGTCAATTTTTCACGATGGACCATTTAGCAATTGTAAATGTATCTGGATGTTAATTGCGTATGTATCTGGATGTTAATTGTGTATGTATCCGGATTTTAATTGCGAATGTATCTGGATGTTAATTGCGTATGTATCTGTATGTTAATTGCGTATGTATCTGGATGTTAATTGCGTATGTATCTGGATGTTAATTGCGCGTATGTATCTGGATGTTAATTGCGTATGTATCTGGATGTTAATTGCGTATGTATCTGGATGTTAATTGCGTTAATTGCGGATGTATCTGGATGTTAATTGCGTATGTATCTGGATGTTAATTGCGTATGTATCTGGATGTTAATTGTTAATTGCGGATATATCTGGATGTTAATTGCGTATGCATCTGGATGTTAATTGCGAATGTATCTGGATGTTAATTGCGGATGTATCTGGATGTTAATTGCGTATGTATCTGTATGTTAATTGCGTATGTATCTGGATGTTAATTGCGGATGTATCTGGATGTTAATTGCGTATGTATCTGGATGTTAATTGCGTATGTATCTGGATGTTAATTGCGGATGTATCTGGATGTTAATTGCGGATGTATCTGGATGTTAATTGCGTATGTATCTGGATGTTAATTGCGTATGTATCTGGATGATAATTGATTAAATCTGATTTACCTTTTTAAATAATTAATTTAACTTGACATAGATTGGAGTTGAGAATCAAATATCATGTTAAACTAAAGAAAATTACACGTCTGATATCTTTTATGTTTTTAATCTTAACTCCTCTTACTGAACATCTTTTGAGAATATATTTTTTTAAATTTCATATAAGTAATCCGATTAATTTGCATTTCCCATACTTGTGCTTTAAATGAGGTCACAAAGTCGTAGCAGAAGATCGCATAAAGGAATTGAGTCTTTGCCACAAACTCTTTTCTAATCCCTATATCTACTTAACCCAATGTCATAGACCTTAGATTCTTCAAAATATGATTTCTGTTAGATCAAATAGTCTAAGTTTGAAATATCAAAAGTTTACACAATCAGGTTGCAAAGATATATGCAGATTAGAAACTTTGAGTTTGTGACAAAGCCTCAATTCCTTTGAACTTCTCCTTCTGTCAGGTCTACAGTCATGTAATACCTGAGTTGAATGCTCTTTGATTTCATCCAACCTCATCAATTGTTTCAATTCATTTAAGGTTCTAAATAGAATCGTTTCAAGATAAATAGAAGAAATTGATCCTGAAAATTACTGAAACCAGATGAAAACATCTGCAGCTAAACAGAACTTATTTTTAGTAAATGTACAGTACCTTGAAGACTTGATATCAGTTTTAGAAAAAACGATGAGAAACGGTGCACCCTGTAACCAAACAAAATATTTGTAAAGATAATTTATTGAAAAGTTTAAAATGATAAATTAAAAAGGAATAAGGCGATTACAAAATTTATATAAAATTTTAAAAGTTATTATCATTTCTTAAGTAGCATTTTTTTTATCAGTGAACCTGTAAAGCAGGTTGGTTTAGGAGTTCTATCAGATCAATAGTAGCAGGACCAATCTTCTCTGGTGCACTAACATCAACCACATATATAACCTCAAATATATATATTTTATACAGGGTGTACCACATCATATTAGACCGAGAAGGGGTCTAAATTACGATTTTCGGGACTAATTAGAAAATTTCATTAGAATGAATCATTTTGAAAAATAACATAAGGTTTTATGTAAGAATTTTCTTGCGGAATATGATAAGTTTTTCGAGTATTAAAGGTTCATTTTGGTGTTAAAGATTGGAGATAATCTAATATGATATGGGACACTCTTTATCTACATATAGATAAGGGGGGGGGGAGGCGATGATTTAATCTCTTCTTCATTTAAAGTAATTTTTCCACACGAACAAGTTATCAAAGAAGAAACTTGGCATTAAGCCTTAGACCTAAATTTTCTCATTTCTACAACTTTGCAACCTGATTCTGAAAAAAATCTTTGCGAAGTTTTACCTGTGTTCTACCAGTCTCTAGGATCAGTCATCCCCCCCCCCCCCTCCAATGCTTTACCTGGGTTCTACAAGCCTCTACGAAGTTTCCCCCAATTTTTTACCTGGGTGCTAACAGCCTTTCTTAAGTTTCTCCCAATGTTTTACCTGCAGTCTACCAGCTTCTACTTTGTTTTACCAGATGTGTTTACCTGCTTTCTTCAGTTTTTACGAAGTTTTACTAGATGTTTTACCTGTGTTCTACCAGCCTCTACGAAGTTTTAACCCCCATGTTTTACCTATGGTCTACCAGCTTCTACGAAGTTTTAATTAACCCCCATGTTTTACCTGTGTTTAACCAGCCTCAACGAAGTTTTAACCCCCATGTTTTACCTGTGTTCTACCAGCCTCTACGAAGTTTAACCCCCATGTTTTAACTGTGTTCTACCAGCTTCTACGAACTTTTAACCCCCATGTTTTACCTGTGTTTAACCAGCCTCTACGAAGTTTTAACCCCCATGTTTTACCTGTGTTCTACCAGCTTCTACAAAGTTTAACCCCCATGTTTTACCTGTGTTCTACCAGCCTCTACGAAGTTTAACCCCCATGTTTTACCTGTGTTCTACCAGCTTCTACAAAGTTTCCCCATAATGGAGACATTGTGCCTCCAATCTCGCGAACACGTACGCTATCAGCTAGCTCAGGTTTCTTAGGGTTAATCTAGAGAAAATAGACTTGAACAAAGAAGATAGACCGGGAACGAATATCTTTGTTTTTAAAATAAGTGTACTGCAGCTGCTGGGAGTAATACAAACAAAAGTTAGCCTAAGTATCACTGAGATCTAAGCGAAGAAAGACATAAAGGGTATCCTGGTGAATCTTCCTTAGCGGAAGTAGAAATGGAACAAATAACTAGCTTGATGAGAAGTTATAATACCACCGGTTATATATCTTTTAGTAAACATAGGGAATTTATGACAGGCCAGGAAGAATGGGAAGCCATCTTTTCACATGAGTGTATTTTGTGATAGTCATTTTTTCCCGGTTAACAACTGTATTAGATCATAGCTCTAAATTGTGATGCTGATACAACGGTAGAGGCTGCAGTATAAAAGAGCAATATTGTGTAAATTTCTGTTCTCTCAATGTATATTATACAACCAGAAACCATATCAAATACGATGATAAATCATTTTGCACTTTTTTGTCCGAACATCTGTTCGCTTAAACAGAAGCAGGGGACGTATGTTCCAAACCGCACTCATTGCCAAAACATAACACTTTTTTTACCAAATTAGCTTAAAAGTATCATTGATTCAAATCTGAAATTGTTTTAAATTTATTACATGTTTCAAAACGCAACTTGCTTCCAAAGTTTGCAATTGCTTCAAAACCGTTATTTGTTATGTAAGAATAGATCCAATAATTTTCCAAAATTGAAATTTTCTCCATTTACAGGAAGTTAATGTTCAAATTTTTGGTTAAAAAAAGTAGCTACGATAATGATATAAAAGTGTGAGAACTGCGGACGATGTTTTATTAATAAACTTTAAGGTTTTTGGTCAGGTCTAGGCAAAATCACGGGTTTGAACTTTCCTTCCCTGAAATGTGAAAAAGAACTTAAGTTTAAGATGTCTTCTCTCTAGCGTTAGTATTTTAAAATAATCAACTATTTTCTTCAGAAATAATCATCTATGTATTAAAGCTCTTCGCTCATATATATATATTTATTTGTATATCAGCTATAGCTGGCCACGGCTGCACCGAATGAGCACATTTTTTGAGGGAACCTATGGATACCCTGGGGGTAACATAGGCTAAAAAATTGACCCCCTATTTATAGAATGCATGCCAGATTCACAACGGTACCTTCTTTTGTATGATCTTCGAAGACGGAGATATCCTTGTTACATTATACATTGTACAATAAGTTATACATTGTACACTACGTTATACATTGTACACTACGTTATACATTATACACTACGATATACATTGTACACTACGTTATACATTGTACACTACGATATACATTGTACACTACGTTATACATTGTACACTACGATATACATTGTATCGTGCAAATGACATTACATGATTTTTGAAAGCACTCCATTTTCAGCTGGAAAAATAAAGACATTTGTTCGTCTTTGATCATGGACAAACAGCTTAAAAATTATATTTGTGACTCAGAAACTTAAAATTACTTTTATACAGTCCCTTAAGAAATTTAGAATTATACATAAATACATTCCTATGTTCCTTGTTTGAATAAGTCGCCTGCAGGGTCTACTGGCGTAAAACAATAATGTAATTTATAAAGAAAAAACGAAAAAATTTTCATAATATAGACTAACCCTGTTGATGTTGATTATATTATAAACTAACCCTGGTGATGTTGGTTATATTAGCCCCTGTAGTAGATACTGCTGTTGTATGCTTGTTCACACTTCCTGGAATAAATCAAACTTTTCAAAACTGTAAATATCAAATTATGAGAAACCTAAAATCAAATTAAACTGAACTATATATTCTGGAACGAAAATCAAACCTGGATTAGCATTCTCCGCCAGTGCCCGAAGTAGTAGGGTTTTACCTAAATAATAGATACAACTTTTTTCCATGCATAAATTTCACTAAAAATAAAATTGAAATAATTGAGATTATAAATAGTTCTAGTTGAAAGAAACTGAAAACGCAATTTCAAGTGATCCTACATAAAAAATAGTAATGCCGGATTTACAACGGTACCATTAAAACCTTTATCTGATTAATTATGCTGAAGATATTGTCGTTTTTTCTAGTTTAATAGTGTTAAATTCCGCTATTTCTATAAGTTTATCTTTAGTAGTAATGCATGATTCACTTTGGTGGAGAAACCACAATGGAAAATAATTTGTTTTCATAATTATAAACATACTGTTGTAAATCGGGCATTTTCGTCTTTGCTTTGAGGGTCAGTTGAAATTACGCATACAGTCCCTTTAAAGCAGAAAACATGCCACTTTCATAAAAAAAAATTCATTCTGAAAAGAAACGTATTTTTTGTTTCAAAAGTTCATATTCAATATTTATCGTAAGAAACTGGGTTTCCGGAAATATTTAAAAGATGACAATTCTTGACAGAAATCTTGTATTTTTAAAAATATTTATATTTTCATAATTTCATTATTAAATATTAAAACAAAATGGAAATGTGGGTCAAAGCTTTCAGTCTTCTAAGTTTGGAACACCATGCTTATTAATCAATAACTCTGTTATTATCATCAAAATAACTCTGTATAAAAAACGAAATTGTTCTGTATGAAAACTATGTTCTTTTAGCAACCATATATTCTCCTGTTTTCAGGCCCTGGCTTGTTCAATTTACCTGAACCAGTTGTTCCTACACACAAAATCATTTTATCATCTGAAATTTCAAAATTGAAGGCTTTATATTTTGAAAATGTATAGATACACTTTTCAATAAAAACACACAAATATATACTTTATCTATACCATTTACTGACAATTGACAAACGTGGAATTATTTCGTATCTAGAATATATTTCTCAGTGATTTGAATTAGCGTTGTATATTTTATTGTATCTAAGTTTATGTGAATAAAGAAAAATAATAAAATAAGATATGCATGTGTCACACTGAACTTAATTTAAACCTTTATTATTGCTTTAATGTCGTCTTCCTATTCTACAGTTTTCTGGTTATCTCTGTACATCAATAGTGTGCAGTGTACTAAGAACAGCAAGCTGTAGAAATGTGAACTAAGCGGGATAAAGTTTTATCAATAAAGTATAGGATTGCAGGGGGAGCCAATATACAAGTATAGGATTGCAGGGGGAGCCAATATACAAGTATAGGATTGCAGGGGGAGCCAATATACAAATATAGGATTGCAGGGGGAGCCAATATACAAATAAGTTCAGACTTTTGCTTCTACTTTCAGGCGTATCCAAGGTCTGTTCAATATCGATCTAATTATTTAAACCGCAATCAGGATTTTTAAAGATTAAAAAATAAGACTTGGACTTGTTACATGAGATTCAACATTTGAGAGCTCATATCCTTTGTGACTTTTTTAATTAAATAAAAGTTTATTGTTGCAATTCCTAATACAAGGGAAATTAACTATTGTCTAATGTACTGTCTTTCATCTACTCATACTTATATATCATGTCTGTTTCATATCTATCTATATTTCTATTTTTTATCTATCTATCTATCTATCTATCTATCTATCTATCATCTATCTATCTATCTATCTATCTATCTATCTATCTATCTATCTATCTATCTATATTTCTATATTTCTTTCTTTATATCTATCTATCTATCTATCTATGACCCTGTTTTTAAAGTTTTATGTAGTTGAAAAGTGTAATTAAATATGCAGAGGTTTAATGAGTTTAATATCTTGATAAATTACTATCTGGAGAATATTCCTTAAAATTGTTTAAAATTAGTTTTTCCCCATTTACAGACTATGGAGGGTGCACGCTGAAAATCTTCATCAATTTTCATTAATTCAAGGTTTATGGAAAAACATGATAAATACATTTCTAAATTTACGTCCTCACTAAACACATTTCAAAACTAAACGCGCTTAAAAACTCCCGTCCGAGTTTAACGCTTTAAAAAACTCCCGTCCTAGCTAAATACTTTAAAACTCCCATCCTAACTAAACGCACTTAAATACTCCCGTCGTAACTAAAAACTTTTAAAAACTCCCGCTGTAAATAAACACATTTAAAAACTCCCGTCCTAGCTAAATACTTTAAAACTCCCATCCTAGCTAAACAATTTTAAAAACTCCCATCGTAACTAAACACATTTAAAAACTCCCATCGTAACTAAACACATTTAAAAACTCCCATCGTAACTTAACACATTTAAAAACTCCCGTCTTAACTAAACACATTTAAAAATTCTCATAGTAACTAAACACATTTAAAAACTCCCATCGTAACTTAACACATTTAAAAACTCTCATCGTAACTAAACATATTTAAAAACTCCCATTGTAACCAAACACGTTTAAAAACTCCCATCGTAACCAAACACATTTACAAACTCCCATCGTAACTAAACCCATTTAAAAACTATACATTTGCAGTTAAAAACGCCTGTTCTTTTTAAACACGTTCAGGTTCACGATTCCTTTCTAAATAAAAACGTTACACAATACCTTAATTAACACTCAAACATGTATTTCACAACATCCCTGATAGAAATAAGTACAAGAATATGTTATAGATATAAAAAGGTTTCATAATGTTGCGTAAAATATTTAATATCTTTTTATTCAATTCATGCAGATTACAAACCATATGATAAATATACAAGAAGACAACTGATAATGAGCATAGTGCAAACCATATGATAAATATACAAGAAGACAACTGATAATGAGCATAGTGCAAAACTTTAAATGAGTTCTTTTCGAGTTTTATAAGAATTCACTTTACAAATCATAGATACATTAAAAAAACACATATTTAAAGTTCAAGCATTCCTTTAAAACATCATAATATATTTTAGGTTATCTTGCTGTTTCATGGCCAATCTTCAGTAGTTTTCAGCTGAAATAAAGATTTTATAAAAATATACTGATATATATATGTGTTCTAACTTAAGAACTCAGCGTTGCCAAGGGAACTCACAGTTACCCCCGCCGTTTACTCGCGATTGAGCGTAAATTATGATTTTTGCCATTTCTATATAAAAGTCGTCCCACACAATTTAGATTCTCAAACCCAAAATAAAAATATCCCGTGCCTTAAGTTCCGCAATTAAAATTTGAGGCAAATCGGTTAATGGGTACCTGAGTTATGGGCGGACATTCTAACAAACAAACAGATATTAGATACAACATATATATATATATATAGATTTGTAACTACAAGAGTAGTTAGGGTTTTCTCCTCTTCTCTAGAATATATTTCTATTGATCAGGTTGTGATTTATCAAACTAAAGCTCTGGGAGGTTGAACAAAACTTTAGTTCTTCTTATCAGAAAAATCCAAGTTCTATCAATTAATCATGTTTTGTAGCATGAATGTTCTGTGGAAAGATACATACATGGTCAAAAATAAAGATAATGTCCAAGTTGAGGATTGAGACTTACGGGTTAGAAATGGAGGTGTGTGGTAGGATCAATATCACATCCTTGAGATTCAGATTTCGGGTTAAAGATGACGTATGTAAGGGTTATGTATGTATAGATTTAAAAATTGAAGTATTAGGGAAGGTTAAGGATAGAAGTATCAGGGTAGGGTAAGGATGGAAGTATCAAAGTATGGTTAGAATAGAAGTATTAGGAAAAAGTAAGAATGGAAGTATCAGGGTAAGGATTAGGATATATTAGTATTAAGGTAGGTTAAGAATGGAAGTATCAGGTATGGGTAAGGATATGTAAGTATTAAAGTAGGGTAAAATGGAACTATCAGGTATGGGTAAAGATATATAAGTATTGAAGTAGGGTAAGGATATATAAGTATTAAAGAAGGGTAAGAATGGAAGTAGCAGGTAAGGGTAAGGATATATAAGTATTAAAGAATGGTAAGAATGGAAGTATCAGGTAAGGGTAAGGATATATAAGTATTAAAGTAGGGTAAGGATATATAAGTATTAAAGAAGGGTAAGAATGGAAGTATCAGGTAAGGGTAAGGATATATAAGTATTGAAGTAGGGTAAGGATATATAGGTATTAAAGTAGGGTAAGAATGGAAGTATCAGGTAAGGGTGAGGATATATAAGTATTATAAGTAGGGTAAAAATGGAAGTATCAGGAAGGGTAAGGATATATAAGTATTATAGTAAGGTAAGGATATATAAGTATTAAATTAGGGTAAGAATGGAAGTATCAGTTATGGGTAAGGATACATAAGATTAAAGTAGGATAAGAATTGAAGTATCAGGAAGGGTAAGGATATATAAGTATTATAGTAAGGTAAGGATATATAAGTATTAAATTAGGGTAAGAATGGAAGTATCAGTTAAGGGTAAGGATACATAAGATTAAAGTAGGATAAGAATTGAAGTATCAGGTAAGGGTAAGGATATATAAGTATCAGTGTGCATTAGCATGCGGTTAGTCAGGCAGAATTTCTTATGTGTGCTTGATATTTTGACAACTGCATTGTAAAACTGAGAAAGATATGTAAAAAATAGTTTTATCTTTATTATTTAGCTTAAAATTAATACTTTGTCCGGACATTTTTATGACAAATCCCTTTGTTCATTTTTTTGAACAATTTTTATATTGTTTCTAACTTTATTACGATCAAGTTACTTCTCTGGAAGCTTCCATTACATTAATGTAGAGGGGGGAAGATAATAATACATACATTTCCTTTTGCGGTGGATTTTTTAAGTCTACGCTCTTCACTCACAATCCAATAAATCTCTTTTGATAATTATGCTGAATAATAATAATAATAAGAAAAACATTGATTTATTGTTTCACCAAACTTGAACCAGTAATTTCGTGTTTGCCACCAAACTTTGATTTTCTAATAGATCAAACAAGTTTGAAATATTAAATATTTACACCATCAGGTTGCAGAGCTATAGGGATTAGAAAATTTGAGTTCCTGGCAATGACTCATTTTTTTCTAATGTCTAGATTTGTATGTATTTTAAGGTATATATATTGTATATCACTATCAAACTAGACAGAGGCCGAAGGTAAAATTCATGCAACAGTGTTTCTAGGACTTAGTAACCTTGTAGCTCATCTGGTTTTGATTTACGCAAACCTATCTGGTAACATGTTTGATTTACGCAAATCTATCCGGTAACATGTTTGATTTACGCAAATCTATCCGGTAACATGTTTGATTTTACGCAAATCTATCCGGAAACATGTTTGATTTACGCAAATCTATCTGGTAACATGTTTGATTTACGCAAATCTATCCGGTAACATGTTTGATTTACGCAAATCTATCCGGTAACATGTTTGAAATTCAAAACATTTTAGATCTTGTCAATAGCTTTTTAATAAAAAGAGTAAGGATTAAAAACATTTAAAACATTTTAATCTTACGCGTAATCTACTTTATATCACCCTGATATCGACCCGTATCTACCAAGCTCAAGTTTCTAAACAACTAATTAATTTGTTAATTTCTTAATCTTTAAATCAAGTAATTAATAAAGTAATTAGTCCACAATATTAAGATAGCTTACTGGTTTATATCATGTTAGAGAGTAAAGATGGGCACGTTAAGCTTTTACAATTATAGTCCTTGAATTGAACCCTACAATTTTCGACTAATAGAATACTAAAAGTCAGTCCAAGAACCTCATTTTGATATTCTAACTTCAAAACTTCCTAGTTCCTATTGCTCGATAGAATTTTTATTGTAAATGTAAGAATAAAACAAAATTACAGGAATATGTAT